TCTATCTCTTTTTTGTTCTAATCTTGCTAATTTCAACTGTTCGTATCCTCTGGCCTGTAACGTTTAGAATTTTCAATTTAAGCTTTTTCGTGATAGGTATCAGTCTCAATGGACTATATGATTTAGTTATGATTCTCATATTCGACCTCTTTCAACAACGGCAATAACGACAATAATAAAGATGACAAACGGAAACAATGGAAGACGGAAGAAATAATGGTTGAAATGAACATCAACCATCAAGAAATATAAGGAAAATCATAGTGAAGCGCTACGACTGAAGTGGCGTAACCAACGATTCTTCATTCTTTTGATTGATGGTCCCGTGATAATGGTTGACGAGAAACGCTGAATGCTTTGAGGCAGCGGTGGAAAAGTAAATTGAATGGATTACTCAATCTCGATCTAACGTTATAATAAAAGAAACTATTAGAAGTTACCCCAACCTGACATGAAATTTTCTCATTATGTCCCTTCTCCATTTTCATTATTTGCTTAAGCTAATAGTGAATATCTCGATGTTATGTTTTAATGTTGATATCATTAGCTATAATTTACTACAATAATTTAATTTTTTGTACTACTGAACCGTTTAATTCCTCAGAACTCCCTAAATGAAACATCCAATCTCTACATATCATTCTTTGATGACCAAGATTTCTTAAGGTGAACTTCCACTATAATAACGAAAGTTTCACTATTCCTAAAAAATAAATTTAGTTTCATAACATGCAGTCATAATCGGTTATTGTTGCCTATCCTTGCAGAAAACCAATTGATGTGCTATGAATGTTGTTTGAATAGAAAATACTTCCCTAATTTTAATTTCTTCAAATATTTCGCTTTATTTTAATTAAGAAAAATGAATGCATGTCATATTATCCTAACCTTGATTATATCGAATAGCAATGCTTATACATATATATATATATATATATATATTGGTTGTTTAAAGGGACCATAGCGCAGCACAGGATGGCACCTATAATCATCACCATTACAAATTTTCGTTGCGCGTTATTCTTACTTGCTTTTCTTTTCCTCATTCCTCCATTTTTTCACTTTTTTTTCAATTACAGTTTGTTTGAAAACTTCACCCTCTCTCTCTCTCTCTCTTTCTCCTCCTTTCTCTGTGCATCATGTGAAAGTTTATCAACGAAAGGAAAAAGTTTACTTTTCATGCGTACTTTTAAAATGCTTTGTTATTTTTTGCACTTGTGGAGAAGTTAACTTCGATTTTATTTCCATGTGATCATTTTGTGTAGGATAATTTGTAAGGTTGTGGCAATTATAATTATAGTCATAATGATGAAGATGTTAATTAGAATAATGATAAAATTGAACTATGATAATGATTGAAAATATAGTATTGAAAGAATAGCCTTTAAGCATGGACTTTAAGAATGTCGAATAAATGCTACATTCAATTCTGATAAATATGCAATAATATTTGGCAGTGATTAACGTGATAAATAATAATTAAAATACGGCTGCAATTGTAATAATAATGCTAACGCAACTACATATGTTCATTCATCTTTTGTAAATGAAAAATTTATTAATGTTAAAAGAGCGACAATTTGTCCGAAATAGTACTTGCATGAGTGCCACGGTGAAACGAACGGAAAACTAAAAGAAAGGAAGGTTACCATATATTTCGATATTCACTTATTTCTTCCTTTTCTTGCTAATATTTTTGACTAAGCTTAAATTCACTCCACTATTTAAATTCTTCTTGACTTCTTGAATTTAGTATTTCAATTTATTCAATGTGATACCAGACATTTTCAACAATTAAATTACTGATATTTATTGAATGTCATTTTGCTATGCTACAAGTGCTTCTGTATGTTTGTGATTACTCGGAAATAATAATATACTAAGTAAGTGATGAAATCATAATTACATTCATTTTTTAAGTTATAAAGAATATACCAATCAGTTTAAAAATTTTCTCAGTCGTTTTTTCTTTTTCAATGGATGATATGGCTTTTGGATATTAAAATGTTTGCAATTTTCCTAATATAATCCATTTATTTTTTTTTTTTTTTGAGGGAGGGGGGACAAAAAAAAAAGTTTTGTTAAATATTGCAGAAAGGAGACTGTTTATCTAATTTCAATAGAAACATCCTCCAATAGCAATAACTACTATATTTAATTTCCCAATATCATACATTTGTTATGAAATCAACAAATGTCATTATATTTCCGTTCCTTGAAATATCTTAAATAAGCAATTTTTGTTTGTTTTCTTATTTTTGCTGCTGCAAATTATTTTTTTTTTTTTCATTCTAATTCAAAACTTAGTTTACGATTTTGCATTGAAGTTCTAAAATAATATGGTCATTTTTCATTCTTTCTTTTGAGGAAAAAATGAGAATTTCAAGCTTTAATGAAATTCTCGAACAATAAGCATAAAGCACGGAGTCGTCGTAGCAGCAGCAGCAGCAGCAGCAATAATAATAGTAGTAGTAGTAGTAGTAGTAGTAGTAGTAGTAGTAGTAGTAGTAGTAGTAGTAGTAGTAGTAGTAGTAGTAGTAGTAGTAGTAGTAGTAGTAGTAGTAGTAGTAGTAGTAGTAGTAGTAGTAGTAGTAGTAGTAGTAGTAGTAGTAGTAGGGAGTAGTAGTAGTAGTAGTAGTAGTAGTAGTAGTAGTAGTAGTAGTAGTAGTAGTAGTAGTAGTAGTAGTAGTAGTAGTAGTAGTAGTAGTAGTAGTAGTAGTAGTAGTAGTAGTAGTAGTAGTAGTAGTAGTAGTAGTGTAGTAGTAGTAGTAGTAGTAGTAGTAGTAGTAGTAGTAGTAGTAGTAGTAGTAGTAGTGTAGTAGTAGTAGTAGTAGTAGTAGTAGTAGTAGTAGTAGTAGTAGTAGTAGTAGTAGTAGTAGTAGTAGTAGTAGTAGTAGTAGTAGTAGTAGTAGTAGTAGTAGTAGTAGTGTAGAATAGTAGTAAGTAGTAGGTAAGTAGTGTAGTTAGTGTAGTAGTAGTAGTAGTAGTAGTAGTAGTAGTAGTGTAGTAGTAGTAGTAGTAGTAGAGTAGTAGTAGTAGTAGTAGTAGTAGTAGTAGTAGTAGTAGTAGTAGTAGTAGTAGTAGCAGTGTAGTAGTGCAAGGGAAGTGATTTTTTGGGTAGTAGTAGTAGTAGTAGTAGTAGTAGTAGTAGTAGTAGTAGTAGTAGTAGTAGTAGTAGTAGTAGTAGTAGTAGTAGTAGTAGTAGTAGTAGTAGTAGTAGTAGTAGGTAGTAGTGTGTAGTAGTAGTAGTAGTGTAGGTGAGTGGTAGGGTGTAGTAGTAGTAGGTAGTAGTAGGTGTAGTAGTAGTGGTAGTATAGTAGTGTGTAGTAGTAGTAGTAGTCAGTAGTAGTAGTAGGTAGTAGAGTACAAGGTGTAGAGTAAGTAGGTGTGTGTGTTGTGAGAGTGGTGGGTGATAGTGTGGTGTAGAGTGTAGTGTAGTGGGTGTATGTGAAGGTTGGAGTGTTAAGAGTATTATGTAGTGAGGGTTAGGGGTGGTAGGTGGATTTAAGGTATATAGATACACAGGGAATGGGTAAGAGAAAAGGCAGAAGAGTACTTCCATAACAAAAATAGCGAATGTTGATGTTCCTGTTCCTCTGGTCATATGACGTCGAGATGCTTGCTTGCCTGCTTGCTTCCTCGCTTCCCCGAGTTGTATCCATCTATCCCGTAGGCGGGTCGTGGTGGTGCCAGGAGGTGTTTGTTTGAGCAGTGTTTATTTCTAAACATGATAAATGTGAAAAATGTTTGTGAGTAGTAGTAGTACTACGGTGTCCGTTCTGGGCCTCTCCTCTTCATGCCTTTCTTGACCACTATTTTATGCTTTGTTTTCTATCTCACTCTTTGTTGCTACTTGTCTTGTCCTCTCTCTCTCACTCTCTCTATTTCGCCTTTGTCTATCCCTCTCCATCTCTTCATATATCCATGCCTATATTTTCCTTTTTATTCCGTTACTGATGACCAAAATATATAAAAAAACACATACATACATACGTAATGTATGTACTCGAACATAGATATACACATAGAATGAGGGCTTGTTAGAATCAATTTTCATCTTGCATTATTTCAAAAATATGAAAATTAATTTACGATTATAAAAATTGCGGTTGTTTTGATAGGGGTCAATAGGTCGATATCATTATTTGATTGATGCATTCATTTCTATATTAAATTTTTTCTTTTTATAATTAAATGTCAAAATAAGGAATTCATATTAAAATACAGTTATCAGTTAGTGAAGACAATATTGAAGATGAAATAATTAGTTTTAACATAGTAAATTGAATAATTGTATGAGAAAAAATATATGAATTTATCCTTGTTTTTATTGTTATGTCTTATAGCACTTTTATGATTTATGACTTCAAATGATTAATGATAGATCTTTAGCATATGTCGATACAATTTTTATATTTACAACAATCAGAATTGCTTACTATCGGACTTAATGTTCATTTTACTATATTATTGCTTCACTTTCACAATTGTATATCATGATTGCTAAATATTGGTTGAACAAAATGGATATCTTATTTTTTTCCTCTCCTCTTTTTTTAAATCGCCATATTTGCAAATCATTCAAATTTAAAAAAACAGCCAGTTTAGGTAGTTTAAATGTCTACAGCCCGTCCAACTAGGCTCTTCCTTGAAAGCTACCAGTTAACAGTGGAATAAGAGCAACTTCTGGAAATGTGCTAGTATGTGACACATTGTTTTGTTGTCTTGCTTATGACTTACTAAATATATGGTCGTTTGGCTTCTTTAACATTCAGCAAATAGTTCCGTCCACAATTATAGCGTAAAGGTGGGGAATAGCTTAAAATGTTCATATTTCGAAATACTATTACACTGAATTTTTATTAGAATATAATGTTAGCCCGAGGATGAAAAACATAGAGAATTTTTCTGTATATTTTTTTTTGTTGACTTCTTCCAAAGGAAAAAAAAAAAGATCTTTTTGTTTAAGGTTCACGGATGCGTTTTGCCATTTTGGTCGCATAAGATGGTCAGTGGCACTATTCATTCAATTCTCTCTGATTACAAGCCACTACTAGCTTCAACAATAATTCTTCAGCCACTGTTCAGATTGTTTTTGCTACCTGTCAAAGCGACATCTGTTTTTGTCACATTATGAAGCAGGTAATTGACATATTTTAAATCTTGGAAGTATAAATTATTACACATAAAATATCTTCTTTCAATAGTCTGCCATAA